TATATATAGTCATTCTCAACACTTCCATTCCTAAGTATATGGCCAAGAAAAATAAAACATATGTCCACTTGTACATTGATATTTATTGTATAATATTAAACGTTAGTCATAATAGCCAAATAGTAGAAACAACCCAAATAGCCTAATTTTCACGCTCTGAAGAGACAGATAAACTGGACAGGCATACTTCACTTAACAACGTCTCAGCCCATGACAAATCACATGTTTAACAGTGACCCAGTACCCATACCCTGTGGCCTAGGTGTGTGGTAGACTGTACAGATGAGGTCTATGCAATTCTCTTACAGGTCACCCCAATGTGGAATGAGGTCACCTGAGTGTGGGTCCTCACCTGCATGTTTTAAATGCGCTAAAATGAGATTCAACTGCAGGCACACACAAACAGGTTGATAAAGGGTTTATTTACAGAAAGGGAATAACCTAGGGAGAAAGAGCGAGAGATGTCAGATGTCAGTAAATGCATCCTACCAGATCTGCTGAGCTGAGGCCCCAATAGCACACTAAAGATGAGCGAAAAGCCAGTCACCCTGAAGCCCACAAGTCTGATCATATACCAAGCCTGGCTGCTTAACCACCCGCAGTTCCCAGAGATCCTCCCTTCGATGGTAATGACATTGGGTGGAGTCCCTGTGGGCTTTAGGAAGGACTCCCCCAAGGGAAATCCATAAAGACTTGTCTGTGGAGTTCATTCAGGACATCCTCTCCCCACACGAGTCCCACTCTGACATTCACACAAAGATGAAATCAGCAAGCAAGGCATTTCTCTGAACATATCCTTGTCGCTAAGCAACACGTGACTGTGTAGCCATACAATAGAGTATTACTCATCCATAAAAAGAACGAAATAGCAATACAAGCAGCCACAGGGGTTAACATTGCAAACATTTGAAGTCAGACATAAAAGACCGCATATTATATTATTCAATTCGATGAAACCCCAAAGCAAATCACAGAGGCAGAAATTTCATTAGCAGTTGTCTAGGATAAGGGAAGTTTGGGGGAAATGCAATGTGTCTGCTGCTAATGGTTATGGGAGTTCCTTTTAGAGTGAATAACAGTGTTCTAAAACTCACTTTGGTCATCGCTGCCCAACTGTCGTAAATAAATTATTGAATTGTATGCTTTAGACGGGTAAATTGTATGGTATAATAATGGTGCATTCTGGCTCCCTTGAGAAAGTTTAATCATTGTATGTTAACAACATGGTTCTTACAGGTTTTACAAAGGGGCAGCTTTAAGAGATTTCAGCATGCCACTTTCCCCCTCCATGCAGTGGGAATTTTGGCCAAAGAAATTATACTCAATAACAGGAATTCTGCACAGAGAACTGTGCCCTGTGAGATACTCTGAATGTTGCCATGTTACAGTAGAAACTATAGCATTGTGCAGTGTGAAGCAAAAAAGTCATCAGATATGCAAGATAGCATCTCTTCTCGCATAAAAAAATAGCAGTTCAGAAAAGATACTTAATTTACGTGGAAATAAGTGAGCATGAACCCATAGTGACTCCCACATTGTAGAGAACACCTCATCTCTGTCCATGATGTACAGGCACACACCTTACAAGCCTATTCAGGACCCCTTAGACATCCACTAAGCCTTGCCTTTTTGCATATCATCCTTGGAGGCCATTTTAGTCTTATTTCAGTTCAACAGTTCCTATCCTCCCCGCATCCCCAATATGAGTGAATATTGGGGGCCCAAGTGTGAATGGTTCTCCCCAAGGGGCAGCATAGCCAAGAGAAGTGGGGTCTCCCACTTTTCTGTACACACACAGAGAGTCCAGTCTTTTCCCTCAATGTCAGCTATTCAGTAGAAACTTCTAGAAGCATCTAGAGCAACTCAACTCAGCAAGCCTACTGTGCAGTAGATGGGGAAATACAACCAGAAGTATGAATTCATTCCCATCACCCCCAAAGTCATCAAAACCATCCCAAGTCACCACTGAAGTTTAGGGGAAAACCTGGCAAAAACAGAATACCCCATACCACTCAACTCCCAGTTGTGGGTGCAGCAAGTTGGGTGTGCCCTCTGCAGTGAGATGTTACAACTATTCAGGAAACTGAAAACAAAAAAAAGAGAGATTTACAACTTACAAGACTAGGAAATTACACAACATGCCAGGTTACAGAACATTATGCGTTGGGAGGTGGGGAGTGGGGTCCTGAAAGAACTCCACCCAAACCCAGGTTTTATGGACCCCACACCCTCGCTGGGAGCTGAGGGTGGGGTTAAGCACCCAGATATGGTATATAACCAGGCCTTGAGTCTCATTATAAGTCCCTTCTAAGTGCATGGCTAAGGAGGACCCACATTCAGGCCACCCCATTTTACATGGGGTTACCCTGTAACAGCGTGAGACTGAGCACACA